GATGTGCTTCAAGCCCTCTCTTTGTGGGACCAGAAGCCTTGCTCTTGCCGGGGAAGGAACTGCTAGAACCACTGACATGAGTCAGGTGGAGCAAACGGGAAGGAGATCCTGGCTCTTATACTCTTCTTTAGCCTTCTATCTGTTTATAGGGTAAAAGGGTCAAGATGGGGAGTGGGTGGAGCTGGGGGTGAACGAAGCATTCAGAAAGCGTCAAACCTTTCGGCTGCCCACGGTTTCCTCTCCTACTGCGGTATGTGGGACGCCTCGCGTGTGACACTTGGCACACGCAGGCAGGATTTTGCTCGCTTTCTAGCTAAAAGGCTAGAGGAGCTGGGAGCTCCTCCCTTGCTCCCGCTGCGGGCACGCTGCGGTTGTGCTGCGCGGCGGGCTGCCTGTGCCCGGTGGCGAGTAGGTATCGTGCGGGCGGCAGGGACCGGGCGGCGGGCAGCGCGGCCCGGCGCCGCTAGGTGGCACGGCTGGGTCTCGCACGGCGCCCGCGTACCTGCGGCACTGCCCGGCCCGGCACGGCACGGCACGGCGCGGCCCGGCCCGGCCCGGCACGGCACGGCACACCCCACCGCCGCTGCAGCACCCCCGCCCCGTTAGACAGAGCCCCCCGGGCCTCCCGCCTCCCTCCGCTGCTAATGAGGGGAACGGCCGAGGGAAGGAGGCGCAAATCATCTTAAAAGAGAGGCAGAAAATGACCGCGGGCAGCCGCCACGAGGCGGGTTTTGTTCGGCCGCTCTGGCAGTAAACTCGTGTAATCTGCAGTCATTAGCATAATCTTCAAAGATCTTTAGGGGGATAATCTTTAAAATGCCTGGGGTGCTCGCTTGTGAGGCTCCTAAATAGGATATCGTCGGAGGGCCGGCGATACCCTTTGAGGCGTCTTTCTTGGGATTCGAGGGGTTTCTCTCCGCCTTCTGCTGTGGCGGACAATAATGTGATCTCCGCCTGGATGGGGGTCAGGAGAGCACTGCGGCGCTGAACACTCAGACCTACTCTCTGGTGGGTTTTTAATTTACGAGGGGGAAAGGCATATATTTTCCSTCGAAGTTTACTTTTCGTCCAGGGTAATTATCTCACTTACATTTGAACTCTTCRGGGGACTAGAATGAGTTTCCAAGCATTCGATTCCCCTGCCTGAAATCTATAGCTCTTTTGTGTGAACCTCCAGAGCTCTGGAAATGAACAACCCAACCCGCGGTTTGCAGAAATGTTCATTGCAGCGAAGGGCGTGTTCGGAGAACACAAACAGCACCCACAGATAGTTGCCAAGGGCACCTAATACATCTTTGCATTACACCTTGAACCAGTATGCCCATATCTCCGAGTTTTTATTGCACGGATCATAAATGATTGTAAAGTCTGCAAATCTTTCATGAAATCCTGGCGATTAATAGTTTAGCCAGGGAAACCTCTAAAGAAACCAGTCTCTAATGCAGCCCTTGAAATCGGTTCACAGCCGCGTGGTGCCGGCATAATCTGACGATTCAGAGTTTTAAGAGGTTTACGGCTTTTCTTTCTCTTTTGAACAATGCACTCTCACTCTGTTTTTCGAGGCAACAAAAYGCAGAAACCTTAGTTAGTACCAGAATGCCAGGTGCTCTCTGATCAGAGGAAAGGAGAAAGGGCTCTGCAGAAGTCAGCTTGAACGCTCGATACCAGAACCGGTAAAATTAGACAGCGTTTCCCATTTATGGTTGCAGGTAACCACATAAAACTATCTGTTTCTHTAAACCGGTTTGGTCCTGATCGTTTCCTGTATTGCGCTTTTAAAGGCAGGAGCACCCCGTGACCCCAAGTGACTATAGTTCTCGGCAGCCGTTTAGATGGTTTTTGAAGGCACGTTGGGGTCCTTTATCAATTATTCGTGATAACAAAGGAAAGGCGCTTGCCTTAAGATGGGAAAGTTTTTCAAGGGAAGCTCCTGCGAGGAGAGAAGTGCCTAGCTCCCCATAAATGATTTACGAAGGATGGATCAGTAACAGGAAAAAAAAGCAGCCCAGGGGAGGAAGAGAGGGCACACAAACAGTTGCTTCACCCGCAGGTTAATGACACCGGAATGAAGCGAGAGGAGACTGGACGGGTTGCCGCGATGGGCGGCCGCCCGTTTCTGACCCCAGCCCCTGCCCCACCGCCCGCAGCGGCAGCTCCACCAGCTCCCCTTGTTTTCTCCCCAAATAAACTGCCTGGCGAGGGGTTGACAAAAGCTGCTGGAAGCAGGTCGGGAAGGGCAGACCCTCGCAGATGTTGCCCTGCGGGAGCGTGCCAGGCTGCCCGCCCCGAGCGGGGGTCGCTGGTCCCGCTGGAACGAGGGGGCTATGCCGGCGGCCGCAGCCCGGCGGGCAGCCGCCCAGCAGGTGTCTGCGGACACAGCCAGAGGCAGCCAAGTGATTAGAGGGGCTTCTTCAAAATGGCACAGAGACCGTACTGTCTGGGACTTTCCCCTTGAGGTCAACGCCTGGAAATATTCGTTATCTCCGCTGTAAAAGGCTTCGTGGGTTTTCTCCCCTTGGCACCGTCTCCCAGCCCTGCTCCCCAGGGGGTAGCAAGGGAGAGTTGCGGAGAGTAAAAGGGGAATCTCCTGCCTCTGACGGCCCAGGTTGTGCTTTCGGGGGATACAGGGCAGAGGGATCTGGCCGCYGCTCTAATGCCTTCGTACTCCATCCTCAGCAGAGGACGGGAGGACTGGAGGTGGCGGGTGCCTCCACCCTTAAGGGAAGAGGGAAGGACTCTCGGCCACGGGAGCCGGGGCACTTTACAGCTACTGCGGCTCTTAGGGCGGTCGCATGATTTCATCGTGGACGTGACACGTGAAAATGCTGCTTCAGAGGTAGCACTGGCGGCGAGGTGACCATTAAGGGACTCTATGCTGCCCCCCACTCTTCCTCAAAAATGCTGGTAACCATAAGAGGCAACCACTTCATTAAAAACATTTAAGGAAACGCTGAAGTCGAAATGAAAACCACTAGTTACATTAAGGTCAAATCAAACGTGGCCTTATGTGATGAGAAATACACGCGAATATTCCCCTCAWAGGAAAGAAATTCCATTTACTCTTCCACAAGCTATTTGCTTTTGGAACAAAGCAGCACCTTTCCCGCAGAAAGAATAATAATAACGTTTGTATACGCAGAAGGGACTGAAATCAAAACGTCCTGACCSCCTCCTCCACACTTCCCCCCCCACACCCCCATCAAATCTRCCCGCGTCTGGATTCAAGTGTAAAMATACAGTTGCCTCAGATGACCATTTGGCTTTAGCGTGTTAACTTTATCCTAATTAAGACAGGAAAGAAACTCCGACGCATCCTCTTTATTCCTCTAAGAAAACTGCCCACGGCATATGCCCGAGATTCTCTGAAGAGAGGTAAAAAACAACCCTCACGTAAGTGACAGTCACTTTTTAAGCCGGCTATTTGTGCCTGCGGATTGCTCCGAGGCGCGCTGGAGACAGCAGCAGTAACGTTTATTTCATTGTCAGTGCTGCCCTTGCCTGCAGTATATTATCTGCGGCAGGAGATGGGCAAGAACTCCTCAGAAACAAGTATTCCTCGGCCACTTTTATTGGCCTTTTAAAAACCGCCTTTGAAATAACACCGGAGGGCTTTAGAAGGGCTTCCACCTTCCTTGTGGCTATCTGCGCAATTATTTCCTGTGATTATTAATGTTTTGTATTGGGCGGGGGGGGATTGTCAAGCAAAATTTTCTTTGTTTCCTCCAAGGGACAATCGAAAGCCCTTAGAAACTGGATCCAGAGTTTTCACGGGCAAATTCTGGAAATGAGGAATTGGCCATCTTAACGAGATCCAACAGCATGAGAAGGTACCGCCGGTAAGAAAGTAGAGGAAACCCGCTGATCTCCTCGCTGGGGAAACCAATCAATCACCAGCCGCTTTCAGAGACTGGAGGAAGAGAACATTTTTCATATTTTTTTTTCCCAGCCTCCTTCCTGTGTAGAGCCCGTGCAGTCCCTCTCCGCGAGAGCGTCGTTAAATCACTGACACGGGTGTGCGGGCACGGATGTCAGGCGTGCTCACGCACCCACGGCGAGGCTGTTCCTTCTTACGGGGACTTTTGTCAGTCTTACATGGGAACTTGTGCCAAATATCCACCCTTCAGTCGGCCGAGGAGGCCCCCCCCCCCCGGATTTTGAGTGACAAGACACCATCCTGCCTTGAATTTTTTCCCTTCTTCCTGATGCCTCTGTGGGTGTGAGCGGGTAGTATCATAAGAAAGGCGTTAATTATTGTTTCGAGTCTGTGAATGTTCAGTGTCTGAAAACAACGGCAATTATTATTTTATAAACACTTCCTCGTGCCACGACCTTCCCAGCTCTAAGAGGCCGGCGAAGTGTGTTTAGCGCACGGAGCCCAGAGTTTGCAGTTACTCCCCGTGTTTGATCCCATTTCTTTACATAGCCAAGMACCGAAATAAAAAGAGGGGACTTCTTTCCTCTCGTCACAGTTTCAGTGGAGAAAAGAGAGCGACACCGGGACGGGAACAYTTGAGGTTTGGGCGCCCGCAAATATGTGGCTGCCCAGCACGGCGGGGAGCTGAGGGCCGCGGGCGGGGGCTGAGGGGACGGCCCCGGGGACGCTCGGGCCCTGCGGAGCGCTGGGCTCGCCCACCGGGGCACAGCAGGGCGGCCCGGGGGATATTTCCCCGCCCCGGCACAGARGCAGGGGCAGCCGGCGGGGTACAGCCGGGGGAGCGGGGCAAGAGCCGCTTCCCGTCGTGGCGGCCGGGGGCGCTGCCGCGGAGCCGGCCGAGAGCACCAGGGCCGGGGCCCAAGCGCCGTCGCAGCGCGGCGGCTCCCGCGGGCCGCTCCC